CCCTGTCTCTCCGTGTCTCTCCTTGTCTTTCCCTTTCTTCCCGTGTCTCTCCCTGTCTCTCCCTGTTTCTCCTTGTCTCTTTGTGTCTCTCCGTGTCTCTCCCTGTTTTCCCCTGTCTCTCTCTCTGCCTCTCCGTGTCTCTCCCTCCCCTCTATCTCTCTCTCTTTCTGTCTATCTTCTTTTCTTCGGGTAAGGCGAAGCGATGAAGAACGAGCGGAAGCTATCTGGATGATTTACCGGCCCGCTGTTCTCTCAACTGGAGTAGTAAATGGAGTGAATAGCGGAGAGTAAATAGCCGCGAGAACTTACTTGAGGATTCTAGATTTAAATCGGTCATTTCTGATACACGAACCACACGGCCGTGGGCGATCCGCTCGCCGTCCCGTGTAGAAACGAGATATAGACAAGCGATTATTCTCGGATTAACTGCATTGTACAAGTTGCCCGATCAGACAATTTGCGTTCTACTATTCCCTCTTACGTATGGCCGTGACCGTTTTGAAATTCAATTTCGCAAATATTTTTAAAATACAGTCTCGCAATTTCTTCTTCTCAGAGAAGCGTATTGATTTTAGAAATATTTGCTTCTAACCGTGTCTATTTTAGCTCAGCTATACCATTTTTACCTCGCTCTCTTTTGCGATATCAAATATTAAGCGTCGCGGCAGCTGTACGACGAATGTGGTCTCCAGTTTTATCTAATTGATTTATTTTATACCCGCGTTTATCTACATTATCTTTTTCTTCTCAAAACACGTATTAATAGCTACACCCTGACGTACGTCTATTCTCTTAAATCCTTTGCAGCAATGTAAGAAAAAAATGAGTCTTTTAAACAGACACACACTCTATGCACACAAATATTCGTAAGTATAAACTACCACGATTGCATAAAAAGATTATTAAAAGAAATAATATCCATAAGAAAGGAAAGTTTCCTAATATGAGACAGCGGAGTTTCCGCTAAATTAGCAGGCATCACCTTTCGGCTCCATGAATTTATTGCCCTTGCGGAGTGAAGTCTGTTCAGTAGAAAATTCATTGTCAGACCGCGCGTGTGGTCGTCGAGAAAAAAAGATTTGCCAAACCGGACGTTGAAAACCCGCGGTCTCATATTAGGAGCCTGATCTCGTAATAGGGGGCTTTCCTCTATCGACTGCTGCACGCCACCCTTTTCAAAAAACAACGCGGGCATCCAATTCCGTCGCGGAGGCGTTTAAAATAGCGACGAAAAGTTCACCGAGCCCGAACAGGCTGTTCACAGTGGTTTCACAGCGAGAGCAACCACCGGGACGCAAAGCGTTAATCAAGTCTGTTCGCCTCTTTGTACCGTTAGCGAGATCGATGGAAATCGACTCGAGCGAGGAAACGGGCGCAAAGCGGCCCGACGTGACCGGCGCGGCGGACGCTTCGCACTCCCGTTTCCGCATCCAAAAGCGAACCGCGAGCTCGGGGCGGGCACGGAGAACGCGGAAAGCGTTCGGTGCCCGCTCGCGAGATTCGCGCGCGACGTGCAGCACGCTATTTTACAGGCCACCCCGGCGCGGCGCGTCATTTAACGGTCGACCGTTCGCCAACTATATCCCCTGGCCGTTAAATTATACATCGTCGCGCGGCACGAGCGTTCCTCCTCTCTGTGACAATTCGCAATTATCTTACGTATAGCTCTTTCTCCCTCTCTCCGCGAAGTGCACACCCCTTGCGTATCGACCAAAGTGAGTGTAACAAACTCCGTCTGGAAATCCCGCGAGTCTATAGATCGTAGTACGTTAAAATTGTTGCGTTACGTTCTTTCGCTGAAGTTTACGGCGCGCGCGCGCGAGGTTCAAAGTGGTGCCGCGTCATTAGCGCGCGCGCGCAGCGGATTCCAGGTGGAAGTGGCGCGAGAGAGGAAACGGCCCCGAAAGTAAACGACCTCGTTACGTGAGCCCGAGCTCTCGTCTCGCGGAAAAGATAAGGCGAGGAGAGAGAAAAAAACCCGCGGCAACTCCGTCCATTGGGGAGCGCCCGAGAGTTCTCGCAAAAGTTGACGCTAAGCGGCGACAAACGGGACGAACGTCCGGGGAGCGGAATGGAGAACGAGAAAAAGCTTTCTGGAACTTTTGCCCGATTTTCGCAAGTTGAAAACTTTCGGCATCCCGCGGCGGATATTTCTGCGGCATCCTAGATATATCGTCTCCTACGGTCGCCGGTTATTTCGGGATTCACCTAGATTTTCAAAGCGACCGGAATCCCCAAATAATCAACAAAGGAGAAAAGCGAGAACGTTCTACGCGCGTTCACCGATATCTAGGGTAAGATAACCAAATTCGGGTCAGATACCAAATGCGGATCAAAAACCTGACGAGTCGCCAGTCAGACCGTTCCCATCCCCTCCGCCGGCGGAATTCGCGGGGGTGCCGGGGATCTCGAACCCCCGTCGAACGACGGCGCGCGAACCTCTCGTACTCGCGCGCCGGAGGAATCAGCCGGCCGCGGGGGTGAATCGCGGCGCGCGGAGAATACCGGACACACACACAATTCCGAGGGTGAACTCTTCCTCTCGCCTCCCTACGGCTGGCGAGCACGTTCGGCGAGTTTCCGGATCCGCGAGAGAGAGCCGCGCCGATGATGTCGCGGAAGATCGCGCGCCGGCCTCTCTATACCGGACTATTTTAATAACTCGGCGTGCCAAACGGCACACCGTGCCGTCGCTGCAAATACGCGACAAAACGACAAGCGCGTCTCTCTCTCTCTCTCTCTCTCTCCCCCCCTCCCCTCCGCGGTCCCGTTACCACGTCGCGGTTTCGCCGTCGGGCCATCCCTCCGCCTACGCGAAACGGCGAAAATACACTCTCATCTTCAACAGGGATGCAGCGACGGACGCGGCGTGGAGATGATCGGCGGGCACGGAAGGGGGGAACGGGAAGCGGGGTGGCTCGTCGAGGAGCCACCCGCGTTTATTTATAGGTTTACAATAACGTAAGTTGATGAAGCGCCAGGCGATGGGCGACGCGGGGCCGCGCGAATTGTCGCGGCGCGTACATACGCGCGCGCACGTGCGCGACGCGTGTGATAAATCTTGCGCCCGTTCTACACCTAGGGATGATCCTACTTGTGGCTCATCCGAGTAAAAGGGATACACCGCGGTTGGTTTCCGACCGTGCCAACGTACCAATCCAAAAATTTTCAAAAATTTCCTTACGCATACGTTTATGTGTTGTACAAATTTTGTTTTTGTACCTTTTGCAGTCAACGACTTCAATGAATTTGTCTCGCAACCTCGCGTCTGTAAATTGTGTCTGCAAGATCTATCCTAATCAGAAAATTTTGGGGTTGGTACGTTGATACGACTGGAAACCTACCGCAGTGAGCCCTTTTAGGCCCAGTTCGACAGCGGCCAGTTAGCTAAATATTTTATTCTAAATTTATTGCGAAAAAATATCACCTCGGCCAGGGTTTGAACCTGGACCTCCCTCTCGGTAGGCGGGCGTCTCAGCCAATAAATTTAGAATAAAATATTTAGACACTAACACCCTGTCACGTAGTCCTTTATTCCTTTAAATTTGTCATAAAATTCTTCGAAATGCCATGTTGTCTCACGATTACATGATTTTCAGGGGACATTTTAAGAGAAACCATATGAGAAATTAGCTGATATGTAATAAATAGCTTACCGAATTTTGTTTCAGTTGTCGGGATCACTACTTAATAACTAGTTGAGCTAACTGGCCACTGTCGAACTGGGCCTTACACTTTATACTTCTTCCTCGGATAAGCCGCAGGTAGGATTATCTTTAGGTATAGAAGGGGGCATCGGATGAGCCACAAGTAGGATCATCCCTAGATGTAGAACGGGCATTACGCCGGTTGTTGCATTAGCGAGATGGACCCGCGGAAATAGAAGAAAACTGAACGGGGGATCGTCCGGCCGAGACTCGACAGAGTCTTTCGACCTGGCAGCGCGCGTATTTGTTATCTTCTCTCTTTTTTGTTCAATGCAATCGCACGAGAGAGCGCATCCCTCGAAAAAGTGGCGCGTCGACCACGTCCGCGCAATTCTTTCCTGATGCAGCGAGATCACGTCCGACGCAGGAAGCTCGACGATACGTGTGTATATCGAAGATTGAATTACCGTTGCACGGATGAAATCGAGAGACTCACCTTTTTGCTAGATTTGAAGACGTTGCACTTGAAAGTGTTGCTGCTCCCGTCGCGGGCGATGTAACTAAATATTTTTAAATCGTGGCTGTCGTGCGAGACGTAGAATATCCTGGAAGAAGGAAGAGAAATGTACAATTCGGTTTTCGCTTTGTTCAAAGATTATTTCAACATCGCGACCGCTCAATATCGCGCGTCGTTTCCCGAGATTTCTCGTGTGAAAATTACAATCTCTCTGAAAGACAAACAGTGGATCAATTTATAGCCACACGGAGAGAATTTCCCTTAAAATGTCCCCTGAAAATCACGTAATTATGGAACATCGTGGCACTTCGAAGAATTTTATAAGAATCGTTTGAAATTTTACTAGGAAAATGTACAGTAAAATTTCAAAAAACTCTTGTAAAATTCTTGGAAATGCCATGTTGTCTCACAATTACATGATTTTCAGGGAACATTTTAAGAGAAAATTCTCTCCGCGTACAAATCAGCAGTGACTGTTCACTGTTTTCGGTGATATTCCACTGATTGACTTTTAGAGAGACGGCAAGATCGGTTTTCGCGCAAAGTTTTCGACGTTTTTCATCTAACCGAGATTTCGATGTTGCGTAAATTGCAAGAGGATCTATAGTGAATCGACTCGGTGACGAGAAAAACTGACGAGCGAGCGAACGCGACGCGAGGGTGTCTCACCTGTAAATCGGATGGTGCATCAGGTAGATTTTATTCTCGTCCATCCATTGCTGCTGTTTCTTCTGCAAAAGAGAGAGAAAACCGCGGACGGCGAGTCGATTACTTCGGGAATATTGTTAGCTAATATTAGCTGTTACCGCTATCTGTTGCCGCGTGTATAGCGTCGAGAATACACAGCGCCCGCGTGTATCAGTGGCGAATATACAACGTGGCGCTTGTCCAAAATCATTTCTCGTTATAAATTGCAACCGTTACGAAATGCGCGTCATCGAGTGTACGCGATTCCTCCCGGCCTCGTCCGCCCTCTTTCCCCGATATTTGCGAATGACGTCGATCTTTTTTTTACGCGGACGTCGCCGGAGATCTTGCACGTTTCGGTGTCGTCAGGGAGAGCCTTGCCGCGTACAAGAAGCGCGCGAATGACGGAATCGCGCGAAGAAGGTATGTATATTTATCGCCGTAACACCGTCGAAAACAGAAATCGGATGAATCAGAACGGATCGTGCGAGAAGGCGCGATAGAGAAACGTGAGTTTTAGCGAACACCGACCGAGGGTCGGAAATTTTTCTCGCGAATGTTTAACGGTACAATAGAGTTAAAGTGGGACCCGCAATAAAACTAAACAACACATAAGAAATGGCCGATGCGGGTCAAAGACAAGATGTAGATAGTCTATACTTGTAATTTATTCTTCTTCTTCTTCCTCTTAAAGTCGGCTTGAAGCCTGTCTTTTTTCCGATTAATTAGTCTCTTGTGATCCGGATGTCCAGCTGACCATCCATCCCTTTGGGGGTCTTCCTGGGGGTCTTTTGGATGTTGAGTTTCCATCTCTTACTATTCTCTCTTCCCTCATTCTGGATACGTGATCGTTCCATTCACGTCTTCTCTGTCTTTCCCACCTGACGATGTCTGGAACATCCTGTTTCCCTGTGATCATCTCGTTGGGTACTGTCTCTGACAAGTGTCTTTCCCAGGATGGTTCAAAGAATCCGCATCTCTGTCGTGCGGGCCACGTTCTTGGTTCTCTTGATTTCCGCTCTTGTCTCTGCTGCATACGTCATGATTGGTCGAACACAGGTTTTGTATATTCTGATCTTGGCTGTAATTTATTAAAACTGTGAATTCATATACCGTTTCTTTCCACCTTTGTCCTGCGCGCTGGTTTCTTTTCTGACATAACGCAGTTTTCTTACGGGTGGAGTTATCGTCAGCAAATTCACATATTCATATGAATTCACATTTTTAATAAATTACAAGTATAGGCTACCTACATCTTGCCTAAGACACGCATTGGCCGTTTCTTATGTGTTGTTTAATTTAAAGGTACGTTCACGAGCGTTACGAGCGATCAGTGGATCGTTCGTCCTTATTTAACATTGGCCAAACAACAAGAACGAAATGATTCCAACAGCGTTGCGAGCGTTAAATGGAACATACCCTAAATCGTTCGAATCTGTGCTCTCCAATAGCGATTGGTCAGGGAATAGGGAACAGAAACCCAACGCGTCGGAAATTCTGTTCCTCTTGTCTATTCCATATCCCATTGTGCGTCGATACACGGTTTCTGGTAAGTTGAAATTTAGTTAATCCTGTTGCCTGTGTTATTCCCTATTCCTATTGTCTGCGCTGTCCTATTGTGCGATAGGCTTAACAGTGAACCAGTGAGTGTTCACTGTTTTCAGTGATAATCCACTGACTGACTTTCAGAGTGTAAGATACAGAATTGACCCCCCCTTCCCTCGTGGCTTCCTTGAAGCGCTTGATGTACCGGAGTCTAACAGATCATTTTACTCGCTTGTAAATGCACGGGAATTAGCTTATCCGGTTTAGATAGGGGTTAACTAGATGATTTGAGATTAATAGTCTGACAACGCTCGTTCGTACGCACAGCTGCGGGGCGTTCAACGAGGATTACCTTCTTTTTCCGTAGGGTCACTTTCAGCCCGTCCACCGAGACTTCCAGCGTCACTTTCTTTTTCTTGATCCCTTTGGTCTTAAACTCGTACTGCGAATCAAACGGGGGTTCAGATTAAACGAAGCGATCGGCGGCTACGCGAAGGCAGAGCTTTGTACCGCGCTCCGCTTCTCCAACTGGGTTAATTAGCTATTACGCGTACTCACGCGGATTCTTCGCATCGCCGCCACGATCTCCACTCGGCTAGTCGGTCGCGGAACCTCCATAGAGCCGATGAACTGAAACGGGACAAATGTAGCAGCTCGCTGAGATAACAATTGAATCGGTTAGAACAGAAAGGGCAACAAACTCGTACACGTATTTGAGAGAAACGAACGACTCTTTTACAAGCAACAGGGGAAAGTCCTCTATAATGAGATGGGCTTCCAATATGAGATAGCAGAGTTTCAACATCCGAATTCCATGACAAATAATCTCTCTTAGGATTTAGAATAATCTTTTAAGGATCTAACACAATATTGGCGGCGTCGCGGTGTCTCTCTCGAGACGTGTCCCTCCACGTCCAGTGTTGTGCATAGATGATTTTAAAATTAGCTAGATAAAGATAAGATAAAAATATATAAATTTATCTTAGATAAGATAAAGATGATTTCGTTTTGAATATATCTAGATAAAAGATAAAATTATATGATGATTCATCTAGATAATTTTCAGATAATATTTTTAAGACTTCATGTAAACGCAGTAGAAAAAGTTATAAAAAAATTATAGAAAAATATAAATTATAAAGGGGGATATAGAATATATTCAGGTTAAGTTATATGACACACATAAATGCATGGTCTACAACGCCATCCATATTTAAATAGTGTAACTGTTAAGTATTTTTATGTGGTCCTAAACCAAATTATCTGTACGTTATCTTAGATAATTTAGTAAAGATAACAGTTACTTTCATCTAAGATGCAGATATAGATAATACTTATTTTTATTATCTATATAAAGATGAGATAACGCTAAAATTTTATCTAGATAATCATCTATATAATTTTATTTAGATAACAGCAAACACTGTCCACGTCAAAGGGAAACGACAGCGAACCGAGAGAAATCTAATCAGCGCGCGACACGATTCTGCGTTAATCGTCTCGACGGGACGAATGTCGCACGAACTTCACAATGAGATCTCGACGCGTGGAGCGCAATAAGGTCGCCCCCGCCTCGTACTCGCAAACGCGAATATACATATAGTTACGCTGCCATTATTATACCGCGGGTGGAGCACCACGCGCCGGCGATCTGTATTTAGAATTCCCCCATTGAAAGCGATGGTCTTGGCCACGTGTTCGGGTGATTCGACGCACACGTGGTGTTCTCCCACGCACACGCTCGCGACAGGAAGAGGACGGTTTCTTTGTAAATTTGCGATCGATAGCGGCGCGGACGTCTCGCGATAACCGAGGACGAATTGAGGAAGAGCTCGCGTAACTGAAAAATTTCTCGCCGTGCCCCTCGTCGTTGATCCGGGAAAAGAAAAATCTCCGCTCGAATTGACGCGTGTCCGCGGACTGAAATAAATTTCACCACATCGCCGTTGCCCGCGTTACAATTTCCGTAAAGAATACGCTACTTCGTACGTAGATGCAATATTAATAGCAAAGTTTCGTTCTCTCTTTCTGCGAAGTGTATCGATCTGTATTTATAGCTTAAGCGCTAAAATCTGATTCCTAAACAGCATTGTATGCACGATTCGCACTACGTGATATATTGCGTTTAAGATTGTAAGCCGATTTTTAGCACTAAACGTAGAGGAAAGTCCTCTATTATGAGATGGGCTTCTAATATTAGATAGCAGCTTTCCAACATCAAAATTTAATCTTTACTAATTCCCAGTCATTCTCCAGCCTTTGTAGTCTACATATTTTTAACATTGGCCGGAAAATTTTATAATTATGACTCGCTGCCTTCGGACTTTTATTAATTGACTTCTTGTTACATGTGCTTCATTATTTATTAAGAAATTGCTTGAAAAGAGCCAAAATCCATGGTCGAAACGGTGCTGTGTATTTTTTGAATTTATCAAACACGTGCCAGTTAAGGCCGATCAAAATTTATTTATTATTATTTATTACTGGCAACCTAAAGCGATTTCGAGATTTTACAAATCTTCATTCACTACGATTATACGATCTAACAATGAATTTTCCACGAAACAGATTTCACGTCTAGGGAAATAAATTCACGATGAAACCAACAGATGATGCCTATTAATTTTGCAAAGAAACCTATCACATGTTAGGAGCTTATCAGGAAAACGCAAACATAAATATAATCTGTACCCTCTGAAAGCCAATCGGTGGATTATCACTGAAAACAGTGATTTGCAGCGGTACATTTATTACTGCGAGTCAGTCATTGTTTTTAGTGATACTCCGCTGATTGACTTTTCGAGAGTAGTCCTTTAATTTGTGCATTTCAGCTCAATTACAGTACGTATTATCCAATAAGTAAAATTTTTCGTCAAGTTTCTATTTTATTGAGATTATCAATAATAAGATTATTGTTTTCTTCGAATTCGCGCGAAGACTCGATTCGCAGGACGCTCCTCCTCGGGCTGTCAAATAAACGAAGCATCGTTCCAAGTTCTATGAACCGAGAGAGTTCAAGAAAGCTTCACTGAGCTTCCTTCGGCCTCTTGGCCCGCGACTCGGACCCCCTACGTAAGCGCGAACGTCAACGGCGGCGCGACACGCGGCGTAAATCAGAGGTCGGAAATCCCGGCGGTTTTCGCGCCGCGGGATTCGCGAGCGCGAGCGCGCGCACAAAAGCTCCAACCTTTCTCAGGAGAAGTGCCACCGAAATAAACACGTGCACGATACGATGACGTCACGGGGAGACGCGAAAGCGGGCGAACGACGTCGTCGTCCAGAAATAAGCCACCCGGTATCGCGCGGCTGTCGTCGCAATTGTTGCACCATCGACGACGACGACGACGACGACGACGACGAGGACGTAAAAATATTATTACTCCGGAGCGCGATCGGCCGGTTTCCCAGAATCGATTTCGTTAGAGAGTCCGGGAAACGTCGTGCTCTATTGTCTCTCCGGGGCGTTACGTTAACCCGCTCGCCACCGTCGGAGACTGCAGTTTGCGTCCCGCCTCGCGATTCGGTCCCGTTGCGAAAGGATCGCCGCGAGGTCTTTATTGCCCATTGTGAGAAATAATACCAGAAACGATAGGATACCAACTGCGCGTCCCCAGGTCTTTTTTTCTCCCTCGCTGTACAGTAGAGGTGTGCGAATCGCTTCGAATTCGAATTGGTCACTTACTTCCTCCAATAAACGCACAATTTTTTTGCAAATTGTATTTTCTTATAAATTTCGTTACAAATTGTACCTAACAAATGTATAATAATTTTTACAGTGTGATAACATCATGTTTAAGGGGTCATTCCACTCCCAAAAACTATACTTATCCTTAACAATTTTCTTCACAGTAAATACACCATACAATGGAATAAATCTTTTTGGAATTTATTAGGGCACTCTTAAATAACACAAAAAAAATTTTTAATTAAGCGTTTTCCACAACGTTCGAATGGCGTGTCAAAAAAGATGCAAGTCCGCTGCGTTGATGACTTATCTTCAGGCTTGCTTGAAACAAAAAGTCAAAAAGATTCTATATGAGTGTCGCTATGTCCCGAATCTCAATTAAGAATTTTTGTTTAAAAATAACAAAATGGTGCCAGTTTGTAAAGAGGTTTTGAAACGTACTTTTTAAAACTTTTTTCACAATGGCACAATTTTGTTATTTTTAAACAAAAATTCTTAATTGAGGTTCGGGGCATAGCGACACTCATGTAGATTAAGAATCTTTTGGACTTTTTGTTTCGGGTAAGCCTGAATGATAAAAAGTCATCAACGCAGCGGACTTGCATCTTTCTTGACACGCCACTCGGTGTAGAAAACGCTTAATTAAAAAATTATTAAAATTATGACAAAAAATGCTTTGTGTTATTTAAGGGTGCCCTAACAAATCCCAAAAAGATTTATTTCATTGTGTGGTGCATTTACTGCGAAAAAAATTGAAACAATACTATCGAAACAACGGTCAAGTTTGTGGCTTCGTTTTCGAAACAACATATAATGAGCCCAGGTAAGTTCGGTTCGAAGTCGAACACGAACAGATTCGACTCGAAAGTATTTCGGAAGATTCGAATCGAATCGAATACGATTCGATTCGACCGCGCGGAAACGCACACTTCTGCTGTTGAAAGCTACAACGCTTTTCAAGTTCGCAAACGATAAGGTACTGCGTCTCCGTCTGTTCTCTTCCCTCGTATAGCCGTGCAGCCTTTCAAATTCGCTCGCAGAAAGTACGCAGCGCGTTTACATCTCGCAGGTGTCCCCCCCGCGTAAACAAACTCGTCCCTTCCCACGTCATTAACGCCGATAATACCGCGGTACCCCCCGCTGAAACGGGACTAAGAAGGCGCGAAAATTCTTTCCCGGCGCAACCGTGTCAAAGCAGATGCTTTCGTTCCCATCGCACGGCGGTCAGAGGAACGAAGCGTGGTTTATAGTCGACATACATTTTCCTCTGACGTGAGACGCTATCGACCGTTAGTGTTGCTATTTTCTGAAAGCGCGCACTCGCGCGAGGCGCGCGCGGTAACGTTTGCAATTAGAAATCCGCATTACGTCTCATCGGGGCGATTTGATACATACGCATTGCGTCAGCGGGAGCAGATCGCTATATATATATCTCTCTATCGCTTTCTCTCTCTCTCGCGGGCACGTCTGTTCAAAATTTTAGCGTAAATTTCAGCGAGAGCGCGCGCTCGCAACGCCCAGCTTAACGTTTCTCAAACGTTTTTAACGTCTCCGGCGGGACAAGTCGTATTCTCGGCCCGTGTGTAAACTCTCGGGACGCGATCGGAAATACAGAAACGCGGGGACGGGTGGCCGCTGGGTCGGCGAGCGTCCGGGCGAGCTTGAGAAAAAAAAACGGATAGGAGCGCGTACCGGGGGCCTCACCGAGTGGATAAGAAATCACCCCAGATTACCTTGGCGTGGAACACGATTCCGCGGTGGAACGCCTCCTCGCTGTGCAGCGGTATTCGCGTGTCGTACTCGTCATTATGTACGAGGTTGTACTGCTTCTTAGAGGGCATGCTGAGCCCAGCTGCATTCGATTACGCTCGTCCAGCCTGGCTGCAATTATAATAAACGGCCCATTAGCATTCTCATGCATTGACAAATGTCTCCGTAACGGACGCTCATCTCCAGCAAATAGAGCGGTTGTCGAATTTCAAAGGGACTCCGTAATTCGAAGCCGGATGGTAAAATTGAACGCCGCGGGCGTATCGATGACGTTCGCGCGATTCATCGCGGCGCTGCGGAATGCGCGGATCGCCGTTTTTTGATCCACGGAGGGTTCCGGTTCCCAGAGTCGGTGGATAAAAAAATAATGAAAGCTCGAATCCGCTCTTTCCTCCGGTTTAGAAGTGACAGGCTATCGTTTAAATTACGCTCAACTGTCAGACACAATCTGCATCCTTCTCTTTGTTTAAAAAAGTGCAGGATTTAACGGTTAAATTAACGATTAGGATACACGTTGTCCATTTCTACCAATGTAGATTAATCTCGGTTTACTTTACTTCGTATCTCTTTCTAGTTTTAAGAACTAGAAAAAGAAGACAAAAGTGAGTTCAACCAAGATTAAAGTTAGACTGTGTTGGTAGAGATGAATCCACCGAGGGATAAACCGCTGAGGGCATTGTGGTGTACAGATTTGCACCATCCAGGCCCAAGCACACGAGAAAACTTAGGCAGTAAAACTGAAGACTTCAGAGAAATGACCAACGAGAGTCGAGAATGTAATTGCAGCCATTTTGAAACTTAAGTAATGCTGAAAATTGGTTGAAATTCTTAAGTCTTACTGTTTAAGTTTCTTCGCGTGTTTCAAGCTTTACTTGGCCGTTACTAGGCATTTGTTGGACATTAGTCTGGGCATTATAAAGATAAAATGAGATAAAACAAGATAAATGAGATAAGATAAGATAAGATACAGTAATGCCCATTGGGCATTAGTACACGGAGAGAATTTTCTCTTAAAATTTCCCCCGAAAACCGTGTAATCGGGGGACAGCAGGGCATTTTGAATACCCTTGTGAGAGTTTTTTGAAACTTTACTATGCAGGGTATTACGTAATACCCGCCTCCTATTTATAACGGATAGGGCGGATTAGACCGAGTCGAAAAGTCCTTTACCACTTAACAATTTTCGCAATAGTTAACGAACTATTAATTATGTAGGATTATTTAAATTGAAAGAAGGGTAGTTTGGCAAGAAAGAGAAGGAGTTAGATTAATTCGAGCTTTAATACAATATAATAGGTACAACTCTGAAAAGTCTCTCAATACTCGTGGAACTCTTGGCGCGATTCTCTCTCTACCACGCACGTCTTATCTCTCTCGTCTCTCGCACACGACTCTGGGAATCCCTCTCTCTAAACGCTAGCCGTAGTTAGCCGATGTCACGCGAGCGACGATCGGTTGTCAAAACTTAACACCCTACAATTATAAAAAATCGGCCGTCCCGCGATCGGCGTTGCTAGGCACGCGGAGAATTGTTTATGACGCACGGCGCAAGGGCTACGTATAATAAGCTCCCCGCGCCTAGCAACGCCGATTGCGGGACGGCCGGGCTAAGACAGCGATTATTAATAATTAATAACTCATTAACTATCGTGAAAATTGCAAAATGGCAGAGGACTTTTCCACTCAGTCTAGTCCGCTCTATCCGTAAATAAAAGGTGAGGCGGGTATTACATAACACCCTGTATATTCTAATAGTAAAGTGTATACTAAGTATCCCAGTGAGAAATGATTCGTCAATTGGCGTCGAGTCGACGTCAATTTAACGGCGTCGTTCGATTTCGGCATCGATCGACGAGCCATTTCTCGCTGGGATAATTACTACTAGAATGCATGGTAAAATTTCAAAAAATTTTCATAAAATTCCTCGAAATGTCACGTTGTCCCACGATTACATGATTTTAGTTAGTGATTTACCCCTCGGGATTCACGTTGGGCGGCGTTCTCTAAAAATCAGAATACTTTTTTTGTAGGAAGCCGCCAATTACTATTTTCTATCGAGAGCGATTCTAAGCCGGCGATGAAAATAAGTGAGCCGCGGCGCAATGAACGCGGAATAAGTACATACATGCGTGTTATTTAAGCCGCGTTCGTGACTGCGCCGCGTATATAGTCATTTTCGATGCACTTAAAGGGTACACGATAACTCCTAAGCGCTGATTTCCTATCGCAAACGCGTGCGGCGGCTGTTTCATTCACGGAACGCCGCTGGTATGTTTACCGTAGGCGTGTAATTCACGATCCAATTTACGCGATTCGACACGTAGTAGCGCTGGAGCGCGAACGCCGGAGTCGGAAATCTCGCCCCAATTCTTCAAAACTCCCGGGCGAGATTTTTCGCGATAAATTCTTTACGGTGATTCAAGAGTGAAGCTTATCAGCATCAAAAGTTACATCCGCTTTTGCGAATTTATTTAATATTTCCAACGAAAATTTACGCTTGGAAGCCGACAAATAATCGGCGCGCGGAGTTTACAGAGTTGGAAAAACTGCAACGAGTTGACGAAGAAATATTATAAATTGTAAAATTCATATCAGTTTTACTGATTGGTCTTAAAGAATACTTTTCTATTTACAAAAGGCCCTGCATGAATAATTAAATACGTACATATAGTATGTACACGGGGAGAGAACTTTCTCTTAAAATTTACCCTAAAAATTGTGTAATCGTGGCACAACATGGCAGTTTGAAAAACTTTCCGCGAGTTTTTCGAAATTTTGCCATACCAGTAAAATGTATACTAATTAAGTATATTTACTAGTAGAATGTACGGTAAAATTTGAAAAAACTCATAAAGTTCAAAATGCCACGTTGTCCCACGATCACATGATTTTCAGGACAAATGTTAAGAGAAAATTCTCTCCGTGTAGGAGAACGCAAACAGTAATGTGCGTTCGTTTATACAAAGTACCGTCTGGTGAAAACGAAAATCCCCGTTGCCCAAAGCACTCGAGAAAAGCTGCAAAAATCGCGACACCCAGGAGAAAAGATACCGTTCGACCGACCCTCAACGTTAAACCGGAGCCTTCGCTTCGCGACTACGCGATCGCCGGACAGGAGCAGCCTCTCGTACGAAAGCTACGTGTCACTCGAACGTAAAGCTACGTCTCGCCATTGAAGAAGCACACGTATATTTCTCGACATTTTCAAGAGCACGGGCGTCCTTGGCGAACCGTCCCCTCCCTTTTCCCACCTTTCCGGCCAGGGAAATACTCTTCAAGACGCGCGCGTTTCAGAAATCCAGAGAGAGAACTCGCGGTTTGCGATACCGAAGGGGGAGAGAGGCGCGCCGCCGCTTCCGCCGCGGAGAGATGCCAGGCGGCCGCGAGATGCATCATCTCGAAGGAGATGCCCCTTTGTGCACGCGCACCTGAGTTAAGAGGCGCTCACACCGGCGCGAGGCGGAGCGGCGAACAAAGGGAATCTGGCGCGGCGGGCTCGCCTCGCGGGAGGATACGCGGGGCGGTGCACGTGCGGCGCATACGTGCGAGGAAGGCCGTCGGGATCACACCTGTTTGCGACGCGACGAGCTCCGTGAAAACGCGGCGCGGCGCCCGCGACTCGAGAGATCTCTCGAACGGCGCGACGAGGGCGCAATTCGCCCGACACGCCGTCGGCGGCGAAGTCATTACGTAAATTATTGAAAACAAAAACTACGCCTCCGTGTAATAACATGGATGGGTTGGTGGAGGGCTGGAAAAACGCACGAGGAAACTTGAGCAGTAAAGCTGGAAACGCACCAAGAGACCCGCGGCCCGGTTTCACCGAACGTCGTCTAGCTTTAATCTTACAAATTCACGTTTGCCCTTTTTCTAAAGTAACAGTTGGAAAGAGACGGAGAGTGAATTAAGCCAAGCTTAATTCGTCCTTTGTCCCTTTACAACTGTTGCCGTAGAAAGAGACAAGCGCGAATTAAACCGAGACTAAAGTTAAGCGACGTTTGGTGAAACCGGGGCTAAGAGTTGAGACTTTCAGGGAGGCGACAGTCGAAAACGCGAGAGCGGTCATTTTGTAACTTCAGCGACGCTGAAAATTCCGATTGGTTGAAATTCACAAGTCTCGCGTCTCGCCGCTTGAGCGTGTCCCCAGCTTGACTTTCGCGCGATCGCGGACGAGCAGAATTCCAGCGTTCGCGCGTAATCCCCGAGATCGTCGCGAGCACGCGCGGAGTCCGGCGGATGTGCGCCGATCGCGCAAACGAGTGAGAATTCCGCGATCGCCAACGTCGCGCCAGCGTGTCGTACCCGACACGCCGCGCGCGCGCGTCGAGTCGAACGATGAATGAATTTTGAACGCTAGCGCGCGCGCGCGCTGCGCCCGTAAATAATAAAATGTCGCTCGCGCCCGAGATCAGAAGAGCGCGGGCACCACGTGCTTTTCTCCCTCCCCGCGCCCCCGCGAGGTGCAGCGGGTTCGACGAACCGAAAAGCCTTCGTTCTCCATTCGAAGACGAGTTTTCCCTCGCTGCCCGGCGACGACGACTCGCTCGGCCGCCGGAGGGCCGAACGAGAGGGCAGAAAGAAAGGAGGGGGAAAAAAAAAGAAAGAGGAAAGAAAGACACGGTCGAAAGTCTCGCGGGCGGTCTTACCTAAAAGCTGATTGGACGATCGGCCGGCGTTGGTTCCGTTCATTAACCGCGGTGATGCGTCTCCGCGGCGCGGGTACGGCCGGACGGAGACGGTCCCCGCGCGAAAATCGATTTCACGTGTGAACGCAGCCTTACGGCGGTCGGGTAGGCCGGTCTCAGGCGAGAGGGGTACGCTCGCGTTCGCGCACGCATTCGGGTTCCGCTGCAATAAAGGCGGCGAGGAACCACCGACGACGAGCCATACCACGTTACACACAGTCTCGGCTCGCTCGCTCAGCAGGTAGAGGCCAGTCCTCTCGTTCCCGCCCTCTCTGTCTTTTTCTCCCCCCTCTCTCTCTCTCTCTCTTTTCTTGGAAACAGATGATAGAGCGGCGCGGTCACCGCGGCTCACCGGATGTTCCGTGTCCTACGGGATTACACGGGGCGACTGCTCCGACCATTCTATCGCGAGGGAGAAAAGGAGGAATCACTCGACGAACCGCGGATTATCACTGCGATCGCACTCGAATTCGGCGATTACGTTACACGAGGGAGCTGCGTCGAGAGTGCGCACACGGCGAGGCCGTTCGATGAGCCGCGCGCGCGGCCAGCACGGCGAAGACAATGAGGAATTCGAGGAGGGAAAGACGGGATGAAAGAAGAAAAAAGGGGACAAGGGAGGAGAAAGATGCGGACTCGCAAGAGAGACAGAGAGAGAGTGAAAAAAGAGAGAATGGAGCAGAGAAGCTGCGGTTCGCGCGGGCAACAGAACAATATTTATACTGACATAGCACGACGTCCGCGGCGGCACCTCCGCAACGTGCCTCGCGCGCCGCGCACTCGGCTTTATCCCTGCTCGAGGTCCGAGGAGTCGATAGACCGCGCGCTACCTCTCTCTCTCTCTCGTGTCGGGCCCCGAGAGAGGGAGGGATGGAGAAAGAGAGAGGAGAAAAAAAGAAATGCGCGTACCCCGCTTGCCGCGTCGCGCGCGCGGCGACGGCAGCGTGCACAGCTCGGGACGGAACGGGTGAGCGCGTACTGCGAAAGGCGAGGGGCGCGCGCGTTCGACCGGAGGGGAAGCGAGTAGCGGCGACGACGCACCGCGCGCGCACACCGAGCGTTTTAGCGCGCGCAGGGCCCTACGGACACGGTCGTACGCGGCGCGGCATCCCCACCGCGAGCGGCACCCGGCATCGCACTGAGAGCCGTGCCCGCGAGCCTGTATATAGCCGGCCTGTGCCGCGCGCCGCGCGCCGCCTCCGAGGCCGCGCCGCCGCCGTCGCCGTCGTCGGCTCGGCGTCATCAGCCGTACCGCGCCACGCTGCCGCCAAGCCGGCCGCGCTGCGCCATGCCCGAGGTCGCGACCCACGACCGATGCGCGGAAACCGAGGGATTCTTCCCCCCTTCCACTCGACAGCGCCGGGACACGTGACCGACAATGTCGTACCCTTGGACGCGACAAGTGGCGGCACCCTTTGGAGGCTGTATAACTTTTTCTCGTTCTGTTTCCGGTCGCTTCCGATATTAAAGGTTTTTACAGACTTCTCTCTTTCTCTCTTTCTCTTTCTCCCCATGTCTCTCCCTGTCTCTCCGTGTCTCTCCCTGTCTCCCCTGTCTCTCCCTGTCTCTCCCTGTCTCTCCGTGTCTCTCCCTGTCCTCCCTGTTTCTCCGTGTTTCTCCCTGTCTCTCTCGGTCTCTCCGTGTCTCTCCCTGTCTCTCCGTGTCTCTCCCTATTTCCCCCTGTCTCTCCTTGTCTCTCCCTGTCTCTCCCTGTTTCCCCTTGTCTCTCCCTGTCTCTCCGTGTCTTTCCCTGTCTCTCCCTGTCTCTACTTGTCTCTCCCTATTTCTCTCTGTCTCTCCGTGTCTCTCCGTGTCTCTCCCTGTCTCTCCGTGTCTCTCCGTGTCTCTCCCTGTCTCTCCGTGTCTCTCCCTGTCTCTCCCTGTCTCTACTTGTCTCTCCCTATTTCTCTCTGTCTCTCCCTGTCTCTCCGTGTCTTTCCCTGTCTCTCCCTGTCTCTCCCTGTCTCTACTTGTCTCTCCCTATCTCTCCCTATCTCTCCCTGTCTCTCCGTGTCTCTCCGTGTCTTTCCCTGTCTTTCCCTGTCTCTACTTGTCTCTCCCTATCTCTCCCTGTCTCTCCAAGTCTCTCCCTGTCTCTATTATATTATTACATTATAGATTATTATTCTAATATAATAAGCGCAAAATCATATTTTCGGACAAACTGAGTATAAATGGAGCATTTAATGGCGTATCCTAGAATCTCTTACTTTATCAAACTTTGTCCAATTTTGTATTGCTAAAAATAATTAATATGTGTATTTAAAGGAAGAGCAAAACTGAAAAAAAATTCAGACATGGACGTTGGAGCGTAAATCTCGTCCAATTGCCGTCGTCGAACAGTTCTGCTGAAGGATTACAGCGCCATCTGGCGTTGCCAGGTAAAAACAAATGAAGCCCAATGAAATGAAGTGCGCCGTTCTATGTCCTCGTTACACGCAGACACACGAGCGATGGTAGAGACGCCGTCTTCGTGTCTCGGTCTTTTCCGGTTGTATGACGGATTGCAAGGTAATGGAATTTTCGCGATGGAAAATATCTCGTAGAATCCAAAGTGATCCGCCGACGCGTCGAATCCGATCATTCGACCGCGTGTGTTTTCCGCATCGTCGTGCTTCGTCCGTTCGCCGCGAAGTATCATTATCTTTCCTATTAGGCAGCTAACAACGAGGTACACGCGCGTCTGCGGCTGTCCAGTCGCTTTGAGAATTACACGTCATTTCATTTAAATCGGATCGCATGATCGAAATTACGTGTGAAAATTAATATTTAAGTTTGCGGAGGATCACGTAACTCTCCATTCGTCCGTCTTTATTCGTGTAAACTTGTGGCTTCAATCGATAACCTGTTCTAACCTGTCCTAACCTATAAACTGAGACCCACGAGGAACTTGTTTCACCTGTAGACTGTAGTAAACAATAAAATTGCCAATGTATGTATTCTTGTCGCAAGGCATTCCGTGCAATGTGAGGACAATTTGTATTTCCCATAGCGCTGATAAAGGAGTAGTAAATATAAACAATTCGCACATGGGTTATCAAACTTTTTTCAATTAAACGTATTAGTATTTTTTGTACCCGATTTATGTCTAACGTGTTCTTCGACGGGTATATAATTTATCAGAGTATTCTCAGATAATCGCTACTGTCGGCACTGCGTCGTAGAATTGTACATTGGTCTAATCGTAGATTGTATATTACAAGCAATGCGAATACACGGAATCTTTTGTGTTACAGTATGAAGCAGATCGTCACCAATCAAACGGTTAAAATCCCAGAGGGATTGACTGTCACCGTCAAGTCCCGTCTGGTGACGGTGAAAGGTCCGAGAGGTGTATTGAAACGATCCTTCAAGCACCTTGCACTTGACATTCGCGTAAGTAAGATCGCGCGCGCGACTTCGCTACGCTTGTACTTGGTGCAAGGCACTACCGTTTCTCTTGATATTATTACAAATGATGGGCTTGGATTCTGAACCCCTTTTATTAATAAACCGCCTCTAAGGCAAAGAGTGGTTAACCAAAGGTTAATCGAGTCTCTGTCTCTCCTATAACAGAGATAATATCATAGAAAAAGATGGAAAGCCGAGTAACTTCCTATTAACAGTTAACCAGAAAATGAAAACTGGGCCTTAAAGTGGCTAATGAGCCTTCTGATTGGCTACGAGCCACTTTTAGGGGCGCTTTTATCGATAAAAGAGGCTTCAGAATACGGGCCATAACGTTTTTTGAAAGATTACCTTGTGGTAATCTTCTAATGTTGAAAAGTACACTGGAGTATCTACCATGATGAGAATTTGGATTCCCCTTCATTTCCCATAAATGATAAATCCACATCTGATATATTTGCGATTTACGCCAAGGTGTATAACATTTATATTTATATCTCATGAATGCGTATTCTTTATTCTGCCTTAGATGGTCAGCGCGAGGTTACTGAAGGTAGAGAAATGGTTCGGCACGAAGAAAGAATTAGCCGCCGTTCGTACCGTGTGCTCGCACATCGAGAACATGCTGAAAGGTGTGACAAAGGGATACCAATATAAAATGCGAGCTGTATACGCTCACTTTCCTATCAACTGCGTGACCACGGAGAATAACACAGTTATAGAAATCCGTAACTTCTTGGGCGAGAAGTACATACGTCGCGTCAAAATGGCACCAGGGGTGACTGTCGCGAATTCCGGCAAACAGAAGGATGAATTAATTATAGAAGGAAATTCCTTAGAGGACGTATCTCGTTCGGGTAAGTTTACTTTACACAAGTATCGATAGTTTTTGTACGAATAGACTCTGCAACATTGATAAACATTGTGTCATTCTGGGTTTTAGCTGCTCTTATCCAACAGTCGACAACAGTAAAAAACAAGGACATTAGAAAGTTTTTGGATGGACTATACGTGTCTGAAAAAACGACAGTTGTACAAGATGATGAATAAATCCTTCCATGTATGACTGAACAATAGAATTTATTAATGCACGTATTTTTATTGTCCTGCTCTTGAAATAAATGTACACTTTTTAATTGTCTCTATCAATGTTGGTGTGCTACCTTTAGGCTATACACATAGAAAGTAACCCCGATGCCTTAGCTGGCACCGTGGGGTATTAAACGCCCCAGCCTAGTTCAGCTCAAGCCCTCTTATAGTACGAGAATTGTACTTGTGTGGTTCATATCTTGTTCCCAGTGAGCCAGCTATGTGATTTTGTTGAAGTGTGCCAAATAAGGGCTAAATGTATACGTTTCATTATTTTTCTTGCACATTTCGTCGTTTTAGTAAGACGTGTTTAAGCTAATGAGAATTGTTCAGAGACTTGTTCTTTATCGATTATTAATTTCTCAATTAACAAGATGTTGATATACACTTTTATGCAGGTAAAAGTGATCTTTATTGATTAAACTCCGGGAACAATTCTTCGTTGTAGCGATATCAAGACCACGCGTGCATGGTTGATAAAGTTGTGAGGTCGGGTCAACGGTCGTGCATCTCATAGTGATACTAATAATCGTTTGAAACGAATTTATTTCAGCAGTATCAATGTATTATTTCATTCCGTACGCGGAAACGCAACATCAATGTCGACAAGAAACGCGACGTCTTGAAATGATTATTTTTTTCGCAACATGATTTTAAAAAATTATTATATTTTATTACATTTTATTTATGTTATGTCCTGTCGTGCATTTACTTTTCTCATTGTTGCACCAATATAACAAATTTCAGCAGTGAGAACGCTAACGTCGATAGAGTCGAAACCACATTTCAACTGTCAGTTTTCGAAAATAATTAAGTGTTGGAACTTTATTTTTTGTATTAAAATTAATTTGTATTAAGTTAACTTGGCAGTTCTCTCCCATAAAATGTTAAAAGTATTCAGAATGTTGAACACAGAAATATAATAGAAAATATTAAACTCCAAAATTTAATTATTTTCTAAAAGTGACGGTTGGAACACGGTTTTAACCCCATTGACGTCGATTCGACCTTAGTGTTCTCGCTGGTATGCAACATCCACGCGTATATCCCAGAATGAATTAATGAAATGCATAAGTGAAACACTAAAAAGATAAGTTAAGATCAAATGGAAAGTCGTTAGTTAGAAGACAGAGTTCACAAGAAAAATAAGCAATGGATGGACGACGAAGTATGCGAAAGCGCCGAAGGCGTCAAAAGGAACGAGGCGTGCAGATAATAATGGGAAAGAAACAAAACATATAAGGTCAGCTGTAATATTTTACCGCAATTGAAGCAAAGTCTGAAGAAATTACCATACGATCAGAATTTGCTCATCACTTTGTTTCAGTCAGCTGTGGATTCAAAAAGAGAAATAATGTTTAACATATTTTACCTGAAATATTAATATCCCAAATAGCACAGATCATTATGAACTTCAAGAGTTCATTCACTTTTTAAATTCTTTAGGAATTAGCATAATCTATTCAAAATGAATTCAAAAGATCTCCATCAAAAGGATGAAAGTATACCTTTTGTCGTCTTATGGAAGTAAATTAAAGTTGTTCTCTGAATAAAATTGGCGTGGAAAAGGAATTTATTTCATAATTCGGGACTTTAAAAGAAATTAGCTGTTTTTGGATTCTCCGTCTCTGATATATGAGTGAATATCGCAAAAGTAAATAAATGTATTGTCATGAATACATTATCAATGAATGACGAATATATAAATTATTCGAGAGACAGTATTTTTTATTATTATTAAGTCAGAACGTAAGACATGTTCACTTCTGAAATCGGGCAGTGCACTTTCGAGCGGTATGCATTGACGTGAGATTATAGAGTCGCAATAAAATTCCAGCTAATTCACTTATCATAAATAATGCGTTGTTCCCATGTATTAAACATCGACAAGTTATACAAGAGAAGCTAATTGTTATCGCACATTGCACATTGATTCAATCTTTACCTTTGGACTATTACGTAGATAAGATTACCTTCGATCTAACATATCCAATAAATATGTCGTAGCTTCGATCTTTCAACTTTGTCTCTTCTTTTATGCAAATAAAATAGACGGAAGAAGAAACGTTACTGGGGAAGAGGATAATACTGGGGCCCGAGAGAGATCCCAAAAAAGATCTGTTAAGCCAGTCTTTGTTATACATTTTTTTTTACTTTTCTCGATGTGAAAAATGATTGATTGAATCGGTTTACAACAGAAAAGGTATATGACAAAATCATATGTCGACTGATCTCTTTCGCAAAATTGGATTAGAATGAGCGCTTAAGCACAAAAATCAGAAATTACGTAAAATCAAGATACAACCGCGAACGAGATTAGTCGATATGGCAAAATCATATGTTGGGTTGATGCACAAGTTCGTTCCGTTTTTAAACAAAAAGTATACCTATTATATTTTAATATATTAATCCAGGTGAATAATCCGACTGTTATATTTTGTCGACGTACATTTAATCAGTGATATATGCAATCTCACGAGTTGTTCTATGACGATCGATTTCAATCAAGGCCAAGATTTCGTGACTGTCAATTTCGGAAGGCCGTCCAGAACGTTTGTAACCCGTTAGATAAAAATTCCTATTCCGGAATCGCTCTAGCTATTTACGAACGGTGAAATCATCAATAGCATCTTATCCGTAGATATTTTTCTTTTGATCTGAACAGCAGTTTTGCCTGTGTTGATAGCAGATCGAATTCGTGTATAAAGTGCGCGAATGTTTAAAAACGGGATGAACTTGGGTTTTATATTACTTTGTCCCGAAGGGAGGAGTCGTTAACACTGGAACTACCGAAGATCAACTTACAGAGACTACTACATAGAAATCTTAGAAAAAAAAGAGAGGACAAAGTACCCTACACATGTTATATGGAAAATGGCTTTTAGTTAGATTTCGCAGAAATTAAAATTGCCACCTTCCTGATAAAAAGTGTCAACGGGCACAACCTCCTAAGAGCAACGGTTTATCCTGACGAAAAGGCAAGTGTAAGTAGAGACTGACAGAAAAGTAAATAAAACTCCTAGTGCGTAAAAGAAGTGTTAACTTCTTAAAATGTGACTTTTACATTCCGCTGTTTCAATTTACGCTTCCTAGGAGTTTTATTTACCTCTCTGTCAGTCTCTACTTACACTTGCCTTACGCTCCGATCTTCATCTTCGCCAGGATACGAGCTCCACAGCTTCAAAGCCTCAATATTAGGATTTGTAGGTAAAGCTAACATACTGCTTAGGAGTTTATTTTTGTCCAAGTAAATGTGATGATTAGAGAATGTATAAGTATAATTCGACGTCGGTGTATACACAGGGTGAAGGAAGATCCATTGTTAAGTCGGTCAAAATGTCCTATCTGTTCTCACTGGTTCAGCTGGTTTTAATGTTTTACTGTGTACATATACGCGTGATATCACTTTGAGGTAATAGAAACTTGATAATAGAGAGGTGAAGGGAAATGCGTAAGTTAAATTCTTCTGCACGAAAAACTGTTTCAATTAAATAGAACATTATAATTTCTTCTCCGTTCTATTCTAGAGTACATCATAAATGTTTTATGATGTTTTAAATTATTCATATATATGTATACATATAAATACGTACATAGTATGTGTACGTACCTATGCATACCTATTATATTGTAACTCGATTCGAACTGACTATGTCAACATGGGTGTACGTGTTTCTTTTTAAAGAACAGTGTTGATGACGTTCTCGCAATGCATTATCCTGCAATTATTTTCGTTCTTTGTAATACCGTTACATAAAGCACAATTGCAAGCAACATAAGATACATATCTTGCATATAAAGTTCCTGCTATGAACTAAATTTCCTCCTTAGTTTGCATTTTTTTTATAGATATCTACTAATTTTCTTATACAACGAAAGGAGAAGAAGTACGCGGGGGAGGAACAGAAGAAAAAGCTACTTTTCCGGAATCTGCTCTCAGCGATCTTGCCTGCAAACGAACCTTGCACGGTACATATAAAAACTTATGTTTGTAGTGGCAATTGCGTCTACAAGAAACACTTATCATTCGTCTAGCTGGTGATTAGCAGGTACGTCGACGTCGCGTGATCTTTGAGTCTTCCTATACGCCATACCCTAGAGAAAAAGTATACACAGAATGAGGAATAGGATTTACATATTCAATATACGGATATAGAAACTCTGTATACGCATACAGAAATTGTGTATACCTTCTGTACACTTTTGTATACTTTTTCTCTAGGGTAGACAATGAATTGCATCTATGTGTAATGAAATCTGCGAGGAGGTCGAAATATTCAATTCAATTAGAATAATATTATACTTAGAATTAGAGTAAGTGCGTTACACTTTCGAGAGGGAGCGACGTGCACGTTTGGGAAATAGCACGTAAATATTAAATTATTAAACACAGTCATAAAAGATGTACAATATGTATAATCTGTCGCCGCATTGACGGAAAGAGGGAGAGCAAACGATAACGTCAATCCCGGCCTTGTGTGTTTATCAAAATAAACAAACATCAAAAGCGACACTTAATATCAATTTGCTAGTATATGCAATTTTTTTTATTTATTAGGAATATTCCTCTCTTGCGCGCGGTTTGTTAGAAAATCGCGAGCGCAGCGTGAAAAATCGAAAACTAACGCACATGCGTTATCCGTATTTGTTAAAAAAAAGTACGTGCATGTAAGTTTAATTGCTACGAACGTTTGAGGTTTCGTATGTCTTCCTTTACTACGCACGTTAAGAGACAAAGAGATAAGACCATGAAAGACTGTTTCACCACGACGATTATTTTACGCCGAATTAAGCGGAGCAGGAGCATATGCGTAGATACTTCATATTTATTTCCACATCTCAAACATTTTCGATCCTCGATTCATATCTATATTATTCTTTTCATATCGAATTACAGTCATCGTGCTATCTATAGATACAAAGTTAAAATGATATGTAACGCTTATCAACTGGATGCCAACGCATCGAATCGTTAATAATAAAAAAACAATTTTCTATACAAACAAGACACTCCTGCAAATATGTAATCCGGCAATTGTACAATCGACACCA